ATATTTCCATTTCGGGTACACGTTTCTGTTTTCATGTACAAGTTTATTTCAAATTGGGTAAAAATTTAAAATTTCAATCTCCATCCCGGGTTTAAGCAAAGTTAGTAACGACCCGCTACGTTGAGCGATTGGAAATTATATGCATACACACATACTCGTACTCATAATGTGTGTGAGTGATAATTTTTATACCCGAGCGCACTTGTGCACAAGGGTATTATAACTTTGTTCACATAACGGTTGTTTGTAACAGGCAAAACGAATCGAGATAGATATAGACAAATGTATACATAAATGATCAGAATGAAAAGAGAAATCGATTAAGCGGTGACTGTCTGTCCGTCCGTCCGTCCGTCCGTCCGTCCGTCCGTCCGTCCGTCCGTCCGTCCGTCCGTCCGTCTGTGCACACGATAACTCGAGTAAAAATTGAGATATCTTAACGAAACTTGGTACGTGAACTTCTTTTGGGCGTGGGACGGATGGTATTGAAAATGGGCGAAATCGGATAATAACCACGCCTACCTCCCATATAACGGTAATTTTAAGAAATACGAAAACTGCGATATTTTAGTAACTACTGAAGATAATTCACTCAAAATTGATACTTACAATGAGTTTCAGACGGAAAACATGAATATTATAAATTTTTGGAAAATGGGCGTAGCCACGCCCACTTATGGTTACATGTGTATATCTTGGTAACCGCTGCACAAATTTCTTCCAAACTTGGCACAGTTGTTGGTCCTGGTACAGCATACCAAATGGCCGAAAATTTTAAAAATCGGACAATAACCACGCCTACCTCCCATATAACGGTAATTTTCAGAAAAACGAAAACTGCGATATTTTAGTAACTACTGAAGATAATTCACTCAAAATTGATATTTGCAATGAGTTTTAGACGAAAAATAAGAATATTACAAAATTTTGGCAAATGGGCGTAGCCACGCCCACTTATGGTTACATGTGCATATCTTGGTAACCGCTACACCAATTTCTTCCAAACCTGGCACAGTTGTTGGTCCTGGTACAGCATACCAACTGGCCGAAAATTTCTAAAATCGGACAATAACCACGCCCACATCCCATATAACGGTAATTTCGAGAAATACAAAATCTTCGATAAATCAGTAAATATTGAAGCTAATTTATTCAAAATTGATGATTGCAACAATTCTTTACCAAGAAATACGTTTATGACAAAATTTTGGAAAGTGGGCGTAGCACCGCCCACTTGTGATCACATATATGTATCTCGCTAACCGTTCTAGCAATTTGTACCAAGCTCAGTATGGTTATTGTGCTTGCCACATAAAAGCAAACCTTTGCAAATTGTTGAAATCGGACTAAAATTGAGGCCGCTTTTCATATAACGGTAAATTTCAGATATGCTTGAAATTTCAATATTTCGAAATTTAAGGACGCTAATTTACTTAAAATGTATACACCCCGGCTTATCATGTAGCGGTAGCTTTCGGAAAGGTGGAAAACATATATTTAATACTTGCGCCGGGTATTTAATGTTCGGCTCCGCCCGAACTTAGACTTTCTTACTTGTTTTCGCATCACTTTAATACTCACAACTATGAAAATGAAAGTGGTGCTATCAAAATGAATACATTCTTTTAGAAATAGTCCTCATACAGATGCATAAGTGAGACAAATAAATGAAGAGTTTATCGTGAAGCGAATGTCAATAAAGTTACCGTTCCTGAGTTTTTGAAATTGGAGTACTCTTAAATAATACTCAACTCCTCAGAGCGAGAGCGTATTTTGATGACGTTAAGAACTCTCTGCCCATGCACACATTCACATTAGCAAAACAGTCAGATCATTTGATCATTCGTATAAGCGAATGCGAATGCAAATATTCGTAACATCCCTTGTTGGTACATACTTACAAGTGGAAAATACAATCTACTACTTTGTTTGTTTTACTCTTAGCGCACTGATATTACGCTTTTCTGCTGGGATTGCTAGTTATTCCATTATTATTTTTTTTTTTTGCAAATTTAGCAAAATTTCCATTCTATTTTTTGATCACACTCATTAAAATTTGAATATCACAAACTCGTACAGCTTAGTGTTGATTTTGTAATTTCCATACGCTTGACCTAATTTCCATGCTTAATTTGTTTACTATTATTTGTGTACAATTAAATTGAATCGCTATTATTCGAGTAATTATCTACTTCGGAACGAATACGCAAAACAAAAACAGAATGCGAAAAACCAAATATATGAATTCAATATTATATAATAATGTAATAAAGGTACGTGCAAAGCAGCAGAAAATAACACTGAATCGACGAAATATGTACGAACACACATACATATATTTATATGCATGTATGTACATTAGAATGGAGCACCACAAATAGTTGCGATTTTTCTGCCGGGACTACAGAATTTATTACAAAATATTTCGGAAAAATATTAAGATTTACGTGAGCTGGACCGATTTGAAAATATCTCCAAAAATAGACTTTTTTATGAATAAAAATAGTTTCTTACAGAACGTTTTGAGAAAAAATCCCCCCAGATGACAAAACAGATAAAGCTTAAAAAATCTACATAAAAATATTTGAAACTATTCTAAACGGAATCGTAATAATGAGATTTTTGATGCTGTTTTTCAACTTTTTTCAAAGATTAATTTACGAAAACTTGAATAACTGGGTCAAAACTATTCCGATTTAGATTTATGGGATTGAAAGGTATTTTCTGGTCAAAAAAACTCATCCACGCCCCAATTATTATTATTTTTTTCAAATACCAACACATCTTAATTCAACTTAGAATGACACTCGTTCATCCTAACTTTCTCTTTCATCCTTTGAATGAGTTTTTTAGCAAAATAATAAAAGGGGTAAGAAGATATCTTTCCAGTGAGAGCTCACAAGTCTAAATCGGAATAGGTTAGGTTCAGTTATTCAAGTTTTTCTTATACCAATCTATGCAAAAAAGTTAAAAAGACAGCATCAAAAATCTCGTTATTTTTTTTAACTTAAACCGTTTTGTCATTTGTGGGGATTTTTCAAAAAAAAAAAATCATTAAGAAACTATTTTTATTCAAAAAAAAAACTTTGGAGGTATTTTCAAATCGGTCCAGCTCACGTAAATCTTAATATATTTCTGAAATATTTTGGTGGAAGTCTTAAAATATAATAGATTTTATAATTCCAATGGAAACATATGACCATTTTTTTGTTGTATGGGGAGTGATGCAGTCTAATGTACATAGATATAAATAGAAGAGATAATTTCCACAAAATATGAACATGCCAAAGGCGGTAAAATTCAATCAGCCAAATAACATGGCCAGATCACCAGAATGTAAAGTGGGTGAAATAAAAACAGAAGATATTTTTTAGTTATTCAATTAGGTCTTTTGTACTTTTGTGTTGTTAAACATTGGTTATATGTAGTGGAAGTATTTAAAGGGTAGCCAAATTACTTGTAAGTATATATATTTAACTATAAAAATTTGAAAGCTGTATTAATCTGCGGACTAAAAGAAAATAATATTACAACAATTGGAAAATTTCATGCGTCAATATCCATTTGCAGAGTGGCTTTAAAATAGTTCAAAATTATTATTAAAAAATGTTGATTATCTAACACGAGCTACATACACACACTAAGTATGTAAATGTAATAAAATTATAGTTTAAAAAACTAAAACTTCGTTATTATAATTTCCATTCGTAGAAATCGCTGCATCTTTAAGGCGCATCAATATTACATAGCTCAACATCCCGAGCTAATAAAAGGGAGGTAAAAAAATGATGATTGCCCCATGAGTGCGTTCATATATCGAAAAGGTTAGTACCTATCGCCATCATATATATATTACTTCTATATTGCTAGTACATTCGAAGTGCATTCCCCTATAGCAGAGTGCAGACACATTGAAAAAAGAAAGAGAGATCCGATAAGAGATTGTACTCAAAATTACAATTTTACTTTTAAAAATTCAGGAGCGGTTTAGCAAATTCTTATTGAAAAACCATTCGTATAAAAAGTTAACAAAAAATAAAAGGAAGGACTTGGCATCAGTGGGCATTTCCAATTGGCGACAATTAGCATAGAAGGGAATCGAATAGCGTGCTTTATTGGACTCGGCCAACATATAAAATACCACACCGCTTTATGTGTAAATAAGTTTTGTCTTGGTTAGGAAAAGATCCTGTATTTTCCAATTTTTCTGATTTCCAAAGAACGGAGAGCCGCTTAAATAATGTATATTTTTTTTTTTTTTAATTACTTTTTGATGCCGGGGCTCTAAGAGCATTTATGTATCAGATCAAATTTTGAAAAAAGTTCGCTTACTTTATTTTCGCGGCTAGGGATCGATATGCATTGCGGCTTGAAGGAAACATGAGACCGTCAAATTTGTGTTTGTTTGTTGAATTCCCTGAACCGCCCCTGTTATGATATGGCACTTCATTATATGTAGTAATTTACAAATATAAATGTACATACACTTCTGCAATCGAAAAAATTTTCATAGGTTTGCCTTTCTTTGATTTCGAATTGAAAACTCATTGCGATCATATTGTACTAGCAATAAAAAAGTATTACATATATTGGACGCATCCAAATTAAATTTTGTGCAGAATGCCACACACACAAAAATGGTATAAAATTTGCAGCTGAAGTAGAATGTCTTATCCTCTGCTCTTGCTGCAGAGACGAGGTCTTCGACGAGCCTAAGATACTGACCAAAATTTCTTGTCTTTCGCATACATTTTTTTAGAGCATAATAAACCATATGTTTTCTATTAGCAACAAAAGCGAATTTAGAAGTTTTGAAATACCGAATTGAAGGATTATACATAACTGCATCCCTTGGCAACAAATAAGTATCAAATATAGCCCTAATTAAATGAAGCGAGCGATTATTTTCTAAGCTAGAGTTAATACATAATATTCCAAAGGAGGCGATAAAAAGTTTAATTTTAAGTTTAATATTTTATTAGGTATCCATTAGCACTTACCTGGCACTAACACTAACATCGCCAGCAGCAGACACCATCTCAGCCAAATTTCACTTCCCGAAAATGTACTTCGGCTACTAAAGCAATTCGTTGAAACATCGCCTTGAATGCTTCTTTCAAGCAAGTTAAGTGGCTTAAGTGCTAAGCACTTTTGCTTAAGTTTAGCGGGCTTCAATATCTTTGCAGGCATTTTGGCGAATTTTTGCATTTTTTCGTATTTTACGAAATAATCGTAATTTGTTTAGTTTTTTACTTCGACGCTAGATGAAAACGTGTGCTTTTTTGCATGCTAAAGTGTCACGTTTTTCGGAGCAGATCTTTAGGTATTTCTGTAAAAAGTAAAGAATAACAGATGCTGAAGTAAAAATTAGAACTAGTATGTATGTGAATAAGTACAATTAAATATATGCGTATTTTATATTTTTAAAGAAATATCTACTATAATCCATAGCATTCAGCAGATGATTATTATTGCGCTTGCACTTAAGGATACCCTCATTTTAAATTGATTGACTAGGACATGCGTAACGAAACAGACCATAAAATATGATAGTAAAACAAATAAAAAAAAATGAGTAAAACAAGCAAACGTGTATTAAAGGCATTCGAGCAAAAAAATCGCTCAAAGCGCCCACGCATTAACCTCATTCAACACTTTTCATTCAATCATCTGCAACTAACTGGCATCAAACGTAAGAAGAGGTTTGTAAGCTTTTATAGGGCGGAAGCGAACTTGTTTGTCGTCAGTATAAATAAAGAGCACACATACATATGTATGTACTAGCTACATACACACAAATAGATGTAAACACATTTGTACTAAGTTGATGAGTATGCTACTAAGAAAATAGGCCAGCAGGAAAAGTGGCTCGAAAGAAACGCGTTTAGACCGTAATAACTTTGTCTGTGCACTCCCCAGCAACAAAAAAAATATCCAGTAAATTGCCAGTAACCCAATTTCTGAGAGAAAGCCAGCACTCAATTTAAAATTCTTTTATCAAATCGTTCAATTTTGGCATTGACTAACTCACTAAGAAGGGAGACCAGTATGTTTGCATGTATTCATAAAAAAATATTTATTGGACCAAAACATAGTGAGTATGCACTGTGGCCAAGCTATGAAGAGTACGCAAAAGCTCCGGAAGCCTTGGCCGAGCATATTTTCAGGTACCATCAAATTATAACTTATGAGAGTTTTATTACATGACAGTTGAGAAGTGCATGTGAAACAATTTCATAAATTACAGAAAGGAAATTCTCGCACATGCAGCGGTGCATAGCATGCATTCAGGCGGCCGGTGTTAGCAGTCGCGCCTAAAGAGGCAGTTTTAATTTTGCAATTCCAAAAATGCATTCCTTTGCTTGCGTAAAATTCAAGAAGCAAAATATAAACAGCTGTGTTTATTACTGCAAAATTATTACGAGTAAAACTCAATCAACTTCCATTCTCGCTCGCTCCTCATGTCCCCTGCTTTGCATGTTTTTTGCAAATTTTTGCGTACGCAGACGCCAAAAGATGATATGTTGTAACAATTGTTACGAACTAACATAAACTGGTACGTAAACAGACGGAGCTAGTAATATATTGGCGCTTGCACAACAAGGTAGTGTTTGGCCGAGCTTCTCCTTCAATTTGTGGCGTTCAACTTGATGTCACACAAAGGGGCGCGACCTACAGATTTAAGCTGACTCCGAACGATGAATGTATTTTTATGAAAAATTGTTTTTGATGGCAGAAAACACTCGAAGGTTTGCCATTGCCTGCCGAGGAGCATACACTATTGGAATAAACTTTTTTATGTTTTATTTTTATTTTTTTATGTTGGTCGGAAACTGTGCTCGAATCCGGTCCCTGCGGAAAGGTAGAGCGTACTGATAACCGCTACGCCGCATTTTATGAAAAAGACTAGAAATTAAATTTGAAACCATTGGCATTGGTTTACAACGTTGGTGCTTGGGTGTCAAAGCAAACATTTTTTCAAGACAAAGATTCGAATTCGGAGAATTATTCCGTCCAAAGTATCAAACGAAATCCATATAGGTAACGATAAAGTACAATTTTTTTTTTGTAACGTAAGATGATCCTATTCCACGTAAAGAAATTCGATAAGCTCAAACAGACACACTTACTTGCAGACAAAACCCAAGCCTTTAAATATGAAATTTACATTTTCATGTCTTGTGCCTCAACAGTGCAATAAGTATGTATAAGTAGTAAAAGAACTGAAATTGAAGTCACAGCTTTTAAAGTATCCACTTTTGCTGAAATCATCGAAAGTGAAACAAAAACGAACCCTTTTCAAAATTCCAACCGAATTGGATAAATAAAAGGGATGTGTTTAATACTTATACAAGATAACCTTACATATTGTGTGGCGGCGTGCGTACATGTGTTTGTTGTTTTGTGGGGAAAACCAAGGCGAATTATTGAAATGAGTAAAATTGTGATTTAGTGATATTTAGCAGTTTACTCGCATCCTTTCATCCGCAAAATTCCAAGCAATAATGTTTGTGTGTGCTTTTTTTGTAAAAAAAAAAATATTTCTATATACATACGTACATACATACATATGTATGTACGTTAGAATGTGACCGTGTATGGGCGTGTGCGTTTGTAGCAGGAGTATACTTTGAAAAAAAAAAATGTGTTGGTTGCCGAAGCAAGGATCAGAGTAAAATTCTTGCACAGCTTCCCCCCTCACAACATCACACCAATACACTAACGTCACATAACTAAAATCTGCAATCTGATATAAACAAGGCAACACGTCTGACGCGCCGCGCGTCCCATCACCTTGACAATTTCACGCTTCCTTGGGAGAAAACGGATTGTGAGAACCGGGTAAGTCCTTAAGCGAGGCACATTTCCTGCACACTCGCATACATGTACATACATTCATGCTGAGTTTAACTGCAGCCAAGGGCAATATTCACACACCCAGCCAAGTTCGGGTGAAGGCGAGAAGAGATAAAACAGTGTCATAGAGCCGAAGCGGGCTTAGGCGTCGCAGACATGGTCTCTTGATTGGCTGATGTGGCGCAACATGTAAGCGGCGGTGCTTGAAAAAGTAGCAAATTGAAATGCGTTCGTGTGTGAAGTGCAAAACAAGCAGGAAAAAAATATCAAACAAGAAGAGCGGGCGGCAAACAATAAGTAGCCAAATATTTTCTATATAAAGTAGACATACCATACAAAATCATGGCCAGCAACAAAAAATGTCAACTGTTGGAATTTTTATCATTTTTCATTTCGCGCACGCGTGTAAACAACGTACGCAGGATATTGTCTTGTATTAGTATTTGGCAGTTGTTATTATTTTCGAGTTTTTTTCTTTAGCTTTTCGCAGAAAAATGGCAAAACATTATGAGACATTATTCATTATTCTATGTGTGCGTGTATGGCTATGCATGTATATGTACATATGGGTACAAAATTTATCAAATATTACTCATACGCCCCACCACGTCAAGAAGTGCGACTAAAGTGAATCAATTTAAAATTTCACGCTTAAACGCAGCTGAAATGTCGATCTCTTGCGAAGTGTTCTTAATTTGGTTGGAGTGTGAAGACAGCTTTTATTCGAAGCAATCGAAGGATGCAAAAGTGCTAAATCAATTTTCTAAAATATTAAGAAGAAAACAAAAATCATCTATATATATAGTTATTTCTCTGAAAACACTGTGAGGAAAATCTCAAGTTTTGTGACTACACAAAAAACGCCTAAATACGTGAATTTAAGATTGGACCGTCGATTGCGGGTCTGTATACCGTTTCTCCAGATCAGGATCATTTTCCCAAGATATTTTCATTTTTATGAAAAAATATTAAAATTTTAACAATGAAGAACTTTAAAAATAACCAATCTTTTGTAATTTTGTAAAACTATATATTAATATCTACGCCAATAACACCATTGGGAAGGTATTTTTCCATGGATGAGGAGAGTTTTTATGGTTTTAAGATTGGTTGAAAATTACAGCCAAAATCCTAGTCTGAAAATTTTCGTTGTTGTTGCAACATGTTCAATTTGAATTGTTTTCGCATTTGGTTTACATTTAAAATTAAAGTTTGCGATAAAGATCAATGTTAGGATGAAGAAATAAATGATAACGTTTAAGACAAAAAAGTTAAGCCCTAATTGAAGATAAAGACAAAAATGAAAACAATGAGAACTACATACGAATTAGGGTAACTAAAAGGGCAAGAACATTTAGTGAAATTTTTCGATAAGAATCGAAATACATTCAGTCAGAAAAAAATTATTATTTATCGAAAGTTATCAATTTTTCGAAATTTGAAGCTTATATATGTGTATCGAGTTATCACTGCTTATCGAAATTTAACGTGTTACCAGAGTGGAACAAGTTATCAAAATTTGTCGATGGCTTTCGAAAAATATGGAGCTAACAAAATTAATCGAGTTAACGAAATTTATAGAGGTATCAAAAGTCGAATTTTGTTGCATTTTCAGAATTAGTATTTTTGAAATTCATTGAATTATCGATGTGTGGCTGATTTTTGAAATTTATCGACAAACTGGAATGTATCGGGGTAAATCCAAGTCTTGCCAAAGCCCTCCAAAGACATACAAAATTATAAGAAAGCGTAGCCTCGTTTTAGTTCCAAAGCAGGAGATTTTTCGGTGAGTAACTCTGTACCTTATAAGTTAAACGACGTGCTAAGTTAGAAACCCGCTCCAACGGTCTTAGAAAAACTAAAAAAAAAACTGTCGAATTTCGACAGTAACTGGCGCTCCTGATTTGTATTGAAATTCGATGAATTAAAAAACAAATTTGAATGGTTAAATGAAAATGTGGATAAATTTTTTATATGAAACTAGCAAATACCCGGTATTGTACTATTTCATTTATTTTATCAATTTAATTAAAGACACATTTTCAAACAGGTGGCAACCCTCCTGAAAATTTTCTCTGCAGTAAACTTTCCAAAACGTCTTCAGTTAGATGCCCATATTGCAATATTTAATTTATCTTATCAAATAAATTAAATCAAAATATTCAAACATGTGGCAACCACGACAAAAATATTTTCGCTTCTTTATTTTGAGCGGCATATTGCAATATTTACTTAATCTTATCAATTTACTTAAACTGCAATTTCCAAACAGGTGGCAACTCTCTAATTTTTTTCTTTCTTTATTTTAAGTTAGACAGATAGAGAAAAATTAAAAAACAAATGTTGATTTGGCTTCACTGTCGTAATCTGCTAATTTTTCTATAAAATTTTAAATAATGTCACTCATACGCCACATCGTACATCTCCGAACTCGTACAAGGCGTATTTATGAGTAAAATTTTCCATGTTGAA